TGTATGTGTGTGTGTGTGTATGTATGTATGTATGTATGTATGTATGTGTGTGTGTGTGTGTGTGTGTATATGATCAGATCAGATCAGATCATTTCGCTGGATTCTGGAACTGTATGATATATCTCCCATTTTGTGTGTGTGTGTGTGTGTGTGTGTGTGTGAGATTCAGGGATTTTATACGTTGTGAGACAATAATAATAAAAGATGACATTTTTTGACGTTGTGGCAGTCATATGTTTTCATAAGTGATCTGCAGGAAGTTGTACGTTGTAAAACACGTTAAAACGTATGAAGAAACATCATGCTACTTCCATATTGCCATTTTTGGACAATATACCATGACATTGTTTACATGGTAGTGTTGAGACATGGTGTGTGTGTGTGTGTATACAATGGTACTATCATAGTATATTAATTGGAGTTCGTCTGTGTAGTACATCAAACGTTTTTATTTCATAACAGCAACATAACTGTTGTTTCCCATGATATGTTTCTTTTAAATTTAAATTTCACTAGGATCATGTTTTATTTTGTCAACTTGAAATCAAAATTGATATTCATTTTCTATTTATTGCTTGTCTTCCTATGAACTATTTATAAGTAAATATTATTCCAGAACCCAAAAAAAATTAGTTTGTAATCTTTCTTTCATCAAAAATGTAATATTCTCTCCATCTCAAAAACAAAGGGGCTATCATGCTATGAATGATGAAATAACCTTATAAACTTCATACACTAGCCTACACGGCGGAGTGCATAGTGTGCTGTATAGTGCGTCGTTTGGGATGCAACTAATGTAATGATTTCTATCTGGGAAGAATTGCATCCAACACAACAGTTTGCATGACAGAACTGCATGATGCTGCAGGTGCATATACTTCATGCATGTTTTTTTTCTTTCATGAGTTGTTCATACATGCTAACCCCTTCAGCTCAAACTTGTCTGTTTTACCTGCTCCATCCGTCCACCTCCTCTCTGTTATTTTAGGTTGTGAGAATGCTGTCACTCCATGCCTGCAGCTTGTCCTCTCTTCATTGTCATGTTTGTGAACCGATAGATGGTGTTGTTTTGTGTTCAGTGCTGGAGTGCGACCCTGGGCTTCCTGTTGAGATCTTCTTCATCACTCCATGGCTGGTATTTGTATTTTTATTTTGCATGCCCTTTATTTAGCATTATGTTTTTCTTTTTTATGACTTGTTAAGATGCTCAGGCTGACATTAACATTTCTGTTGTATGTTATTGTGGATAATGGCCTGCTCGCCTGAGATTTAACTTTTCATTTAACACTTCATGAACTCGCTTAACATATTCCTTTTACATTAAAATAACATCCATCGCTTCATCTAAAAATGCAAATATGATGGGTTTTCAAAAGGAATGTCCAAGTCATATTTTACTCCAAAAAGACAAGAAAAAAAGAAATTATATTTTGCATTAAGAAAATGTCAATAATGCAAAAATCTTAATGATCACTTTCATGATAATGAAGCTAATTTCTTCTTATGTTCTTGTTATTGTAATATGATTTTTTTGTTTGTTAATGCAGTATAAGAAGATCCAATTCTTAATATTGTAAGGAAATAATAGTAAAACATTTCACTACAGCAGTGTGAGGAAAAATACTGTGAAGCAAAAATCTTTGTTTCTGTAATGCGAAAAAAAATCATTATTTTCAAACATTAATTAATTTTTTTTTTTTTTTACAATATATAAGCCTATATATACTGTCAAAAATGTCCAGGACGTATTTCACTGTGAAAAAAAAAAATAAATGTCCTGGACATTTTATTAGATTCATCTTGACATTTCTATTCGAGTTTTACATCAGCTTCTTTTGAACATTTCAATTTTATTATGATGTATGCTTAACTAGCATTAAATCAACCTACACCCCTAGTAAAGACAACATATACCTCCAGTATGTCATCAACAAAGGCTTACTTTAAGTTTCCTCCCTCAATGTTTAACTTGTTATTTACACATCACATACAGAAATAGTGTATGCAGCATAGTGTCCAACAAAGGACACATTCTACTCCTCCATTGCTGTAGGATGAGGCCAACCCTGCCGTTTGATTGCTCAGTTTCAGGTAGGAAGTGCGTAGAGGGACGTCACTGAGGAGTGATGCCTGTTGAAAGTGGAAACAGCGCAGCCGCCCGTCAAGTCAAACAGAAGCGCAAGTCGCACAGTCTCTCCATTAGGAGGACCAACAGCACCGAGCAGGACAGGCCAGGCATGCAGAGAGACATGCTGGAGGGACAGGTACGTTGTTTTTTCTCTTTGTTTCTGAAACTCGCATGAGCACGTATAGATCCCGGTTTTTGAAGTTCGTGGTTTTCATTTGATGAACTCTATTGTGTGAGCGTGCTGCCATGCCCAGGTGAACAGTCAAGAATGACACAAAGCCAGTTCTGTGACATTGTTTGTAAAACAAATTATTTTTTTTTGGTAACCACCAAATCATGACAGCTGGGATATTGAAGTATCCGTGTAAACACGTGTCATGTTGTTTTTGAACAATTTGCTATTGTTTTAGAATTTAGTTGAATTTTAAAAAGAAAAATGTTTCAGGACATTATGTATTTTAGACATATTACATTTCCAGGAAGCCAAAGTTGATTGATTAACTAAGTGTTATTATGGAAAAATCCAAAAAGTAAATAACATTTTTTTTTTCTTAACCCCTTAACTGTCACCCCACATTTTTTAAAATAGGCATGCAGTTGCACTATCCAAACTTAAATTGTTGTAATTTATGAACACTTTGGAATACAGACATAAGGTTGGTCTCTTTTTAAAGAAGAAAATCAGCAGATTATCGCAAAAGTGGATTTTTTTTCAAAAAATTAAAGTATCAAAAAGTTATGGTAGTTTAAATTTACTGTAAAGAAAATGCACTATATTAATTTTATTTTATATATAATAAATATTTTACATAACAGGTTTTACTCTAAAATTGGTATAAAATTAAAGCCTTATGTCTAAATAAGTTATGTTCCAAATTTGAAGTTGATATGAAAAAAATTGAGGTTCCTGTGAGATTTTATTTAGGGCGCTATACCATAAACAGCCACCGGGTGCCATCCAAATTCAAAAATTGAATTTTTTTAATGCATTTTTCTGTCACAAATGTCTAGATTTCTCTGTCAATATTACTTCTATCACCAAATATGGAATCCTGAGACTCAGACCTCTCCAATGATATGTTTTTTGTCAAGATTATAAAAAGGTTTGATTCTAAAAGACCGTAATGCATTTTGTAATATGACACTTGACACCGCCCACTAAGGGTGGAGGAGACAGCCAAAAGGTTTTAAAGTACCATTTCCATGGTAAAGCAATGTCCGATTTCAAAATGGTTTTCACAGGATGAATCTTGGGTTTCTAAGCTTTCAAATGATATATGATTTATGATGATTACTAAAAGATTTGATAGAGAAAAAGGACAACAAAAAAAAGAGCGCCAAGCGTCCCACAGGTGGGACGGTGACATTTTATATATCTAAAAAAATAAAAATAAAAAATTATCAGGAATTCAAAAAGTAAAATAAAATGCATTTTTTTTCTCCAAAACTAAGTAATGAAATAAAATTAAAATGGCCATAAATTCATTTTAATTCTAGGTTTTCATTCTGTCTTATAAAGTTGGAAATGCCTACAACCCACTTACATTAAAAATGCAAAAATGCTACTAGATTACATGTATATAAATATATAATTATATATGTATAAATTGAAAAGACGAATTGTAAATAAAATAGAAATATTATTTTTATTATTATTATCTCAACTGTTTCAGGAGACAGTGTATCAGACATGTTCAGTGTTGCAGGAAGCCAATGTTGATTGATTGATTGATTAAGTGTTATTATGGAAACAACAAATATGTTTTTTTCAACAAATTTTTTTTCTTAAAAAAAAAACACATAAGGAACAGCAAAAGTAAAATAAAAGTAATGAAATAAAATTCAAATGACCACAAATTAATTAAAATTTAACATTTTCATTCTAGGTGTATTATAACATTGGAAACAAAAAATGCTGCTAGATAACACTGAAAAACTAATTTCTGGCCCTGAAAATAAAAACAATAAACATATTTAAATTAATAAATTAATATAAAAATTTATTAACTTTGACATCCCTAGAATACTGAAATCCAAAAGTAAAACTAACAAATAACAAAAAATAAACTGAATTGAAAGACAAATTGTACATAAAATAGAAATAATAACACTGTAATAACACTGGATCAGTGTCTTTATTGAGAGTGATTCTGGTTTGGAAGAATGGAAAGGAGTTTGAATACTGGTGTCATACAAATTAAATGTCACATTCAAAGTCCATATTATACCTGGTGAACAAATGACATGAGTTAAGTATTTCTGTCAATGAGTAGTTTTGTCATTGTTTGGTACTGTAACGTATCCCAGGAATTTACATCCTCTAACACACAACGTTTGTCCTAAATGAGTCTGTTATCGACGCACATTCCTTACGCAAACATTACTGGAGTACGTCAGTGATAAGAGCGGCCTGTACTCATGTCAATTACAATTGTCAGTTTTCCCATTCAAATGAAGTTCTTTATCAGTTTAAGTTCAAAAACGTACTTTGTTTATTACATGTTCCTGAAAAGTTTTCATACATTATTTTGAACAAAATGTTAAAATTAAAGTCTTAAAGGGGCCATATGATGTTGCTAAAAAGAGCATTATTTTGTGTATTTGGTGTAATGCAATGTTTTTACGTGGTTTAGGGTTCAAAAACTACATTCTTTTCCACATACTGTACATTATTGTTGCTCCTCTCTGCCCCGCCTTTCTGAAACGCATCGATTTTAACAAAGCTCATCATTCTGAAAAGCGAGGTGTGCTCTGATTGGCCAGCTATCCAGTGTGTTGTGATTGGCCGAATACCTCAAGCGCGTGACAGAGGTGTTACACCCCTTACCATATTTGGAAACACACAGCGTCTCCACGACATGGCGGCAGCGGCAATAATACTACAGTGAGAATAAAAGTTATGCCTTCTTTCTTTGCATTATACATTTGGGCGGTGTTATGCAAATCTTCCCACAAAGTGACGTAGATTTGTTGGGGTGTGTTTCAATGAGGCGTTTTAGGTAGGCGTGGATGAGTCTTAACTTTTATGAAGAATATCTCTTTGGGTTTGAGACGTTCATCTTTGTGACTTTACAAATCTTATAAATGCACAAACTGCTTGTAACACTCCAAAGACAAAGGAAAACATGAAATCGTGTCATATGACCCCTTTAAGAGTAGTCTAACTAATGTCAGACTTGAGACATGATGCCATTTGGTTATCTGTTTTATTGATACTCCTTGGAGGGTATCTATGGTTTGTACTCTTCTATGGTCTATAGCCTCATCCATTTTTAAAGAGCGGCCCACGCTGGGGTTCGATTGTTCCGTCTATTCCTCTGTAGGGTCATTTCTGATTGACAGTCCCTACTGTAAACCGTTCACTGGATTTAGACTATACCGCCTTTCACCCTCTCAATGCTGTCATTATGTCCAGTTGCTATGGTGACCACAAGTTTTAGGATTGAGCAGGTTTATAAGAATAGACGACAAGCTGTTGTTTGTTAATTGCCGCCTCTCTCTCTCTCTCTCTCTCTCTGACACATAAGTACATGTGGTACTGATAGAATGGAGAACAGTTGACTTCACTTTTACACTGTTCTCATTGGTTTACTGTTGTCCTGGAGTAGTTAATATGGACATAGCTAGTCTAAACAACACAACAGCAATGTTTGTTTGTGGATTGCTTTTCTTTGTGTAGTTTTAATCAGGCTGAAAGACTTTACTTGGAACTTCTTATCTTTGATAATGGAGGTAAGTTGATTTGGTAGATTAGTTATGTTTTTGAATAGAGATCTTTACTTTTTTACTTTTTCAGATTTTGTTGTGATTATTTTCTGTCAGTTGTTTTCAATCATTAGTAATATTTGGTTACTCTCTGTCTCAAAAATAAATTATACATTTAGGACAGAAATTATCTGTACTGAGGCTGAAAAGCCTGTAGAACAGCAAGATATTTTACGCAAAGTTTAGGTAAACATTAACATTAACATAACCATTAAGTTGTTTTTTTTTTGAAAGATTTTATAGCAGCATGATATTTAATATAAATGTTTAAATGTAAGGTTTCAGAGCAGCAAGAAATTAAAGGGGTCATATGGTGCGATTTCAATTTTTCCTTTCTCTTTGGAGTGTTACAAGCTCTTGGTGCATAAAGAAGATCTGTAAAGTTGCAAAGACTAAAGTCTCAAATCCAAAGAACCATTAGAAAATTCCTTTTTGTTTTGGGCATTATTCCAATAGGGATTACTGTTGTTCTATTGGTTGCCATCTGCCAGATTACATCCCACCAATAGAATCCGATCCCTTCAACATTTCTTGTGTTTTAGTAGTTTATTTTTATGTGTTAACATTATTTTTAAATAGTTAGAATGTACAAAGTAGAACAGTGCAAAATCCGCATTTCTCATTTGTTGTAATTTAAGTTTGAAGGCATTTTGATGACGCATTCTCTGAGTATGTGTAACATGGATTATTTGATTCAATATCTAGGACTCCAAGTTGCCGATGGCCTTAAGGAGTAACTTACTGGACCTGTTTGGACAGATTGAACGGGAGTTTGAAAATCTCTACATTGAAAACTTAGATTGTGAGTAGTACCAATTAGCTTCCAACATAGTTAACATGCTTTTTTCACGTCTGGACTCTGTTTACATGACTTACTATATTTAATTTAATGGTGACAACACAGTCCTTGCACATGAAGAAGAACTGGTTTTAATTGAGCAGTCATCTTATGCTAAGTAAGTAGCATTCTCACAGCATTCTCAAGATCTGAATCCTTAATTGTTTTCGGTATTACAATTGATTTGTATTAAATAATGAATGTATAATTTAAATTGTAAGTTGCCATGTAACAAGCAGATTAATGTACAGTCAGTATCGAGGTATAAACTCCTTCAGGGTGACGTGGGTCCTCATCAAACTGTTGGGTTTATTTGAATGTACGTTATCCCTTACATAGTTTGTAAATGTGACGCAATCAGTGATTTGCTCAGTTTATCAGCGACCGCCATATCATACGCTCTGTTCTTGTGCAGTGCGGAGAGAGATTGAATCTCTAAACGAACGTTTGGCTGGAGAAGGACAGACTGTTGATGGCGGCGATCTGAGCAAAGGAGCCCTGAAAACAAAAGGTACATGCAAAACAAAACTGACATTTAGCTTTTGTTTCATTTCTGCATTCATTATATCAGATCATTAAACAAGCTTTTGAATAAATAATGACATTGTTTTTTTTGATGATTCAGGGAGAATAATTTGTTAACGTTGTGCCTAAAGCTATGTCCTCACATGACATGATGATGTTTTAAGTGCAGTTTGCTATTGATTTATCAGTAGATCTGCATGGCCAGATGTTTGTGGACACCTTCTTCTTTAATTAAGTGGTTTGACTGTTTCAGCTACACCCATTTCTAACAGGAACATACAATCATATCGCCATATATTCTACTTAGACAAACATTTACAGTAGAATGGGGCCCTTTTTTGTTTGAGCTTGACAATGCTCTTGTAAAAAAAGTGAGGTCCATAAAAATGGTTTTTCTAGTCTGGTTTGGAAGAACTTGAAAACTTAAAACATTGAAACCTGGTGTGGATGAAATTGAAAACTTAAAACCTAACAGTGTTATGTATAATTTATCGTATTTTTCACTAATAATCTTGTAATTTCTTGTGCACAGCAAGTCACAGCACAAGTCAACTTTCCCAAAAGCTGAAGACGACATACAAGGCCTCCACTAGCAAGGTATGATTGTATCTATGGGGTTATTTGCTGACATTTCACTCTGATTAAAACTCTGTTACTGTTGTTTAAGCGCAGAATATTTCTCTCAGAATCACTAATCTCTATAAAAAAAACTTAATATCTCAGTGCAAAGTCCTGTTCTTTGTAGTCGGCTTACAGCTGCTTAAAATATGTAGATACTGAATGAACAAGCTAGGGTTGTCACAATACCAAAATGTTACCAATATCAGTGAAATCTGACGATTAAAACCAATGAAGTTCCATTACTGGGACTCCTTTAAGTTTTCATGATCATTAAAGGGATAGTTCACCCAAAAATGATCATTCTTTCATCGTTTACTGATCCTCATTACTCTTTTTTTGGGGTACTTAGACTTTCAAAGGAGGGACAGAAATCTCTCAAGTTTCATAAATATCTTCATTTGTGTTTCGAAAATTAACCAAAGTCAAATTGGGTTTGGAATTAAATGAGCAGTAAATGATGACCGCATCTTCATTTTTTGGTTAAACTATCTCTGTAAGAAATTGAATTAAAATAACGGCATGTACCATAATGGCATGCAACTGTCATGGAAATTGTGTGGAATTGACACTATTTAATAACTGGTAAAATAGTATCTTTTCAGTTTTGTTATTGACTTGTGACATCTCTAGAGCAAGCTGTTTTAGGTGGTTATGTAAGCGTCTATGTTTTGTCTCAGTGTTGCATTTTCGTAATGCTGAGTTGTCTGCTCTGTTTGTTCAGTTTCTTTCAGTTATACAAACTACCTCCAGTTTCACATACACATTTCATGGAATTACATACCGATGATATGATCAGTAGGGGTGTAAAATGTGTCAGTGTTATGCAGAGGCGGACAGTAGTGAAGTATTTTTACTCTGCTGTAAAAGTACTTTTCAAGTGTCAGTACTTTATCAGAGTGGTTTTCTTTAGAAAACTTTACTTCACAACATTCCAAAGCATAATATTGCACTTTTTACTGCACTACGTTTCATATTAAATATAATTTAATACTTAATTACATTAGAAATCTATTACTTTCTTTCGTTTACTCAAGTAAAAGTAATTGAAAGATTTACTTGAGTACGAGAAAGTACTACATTTTTAATGTTCTTAAGTATGAAAGGTAAAACAAACAACAACTTTTATTTATGAAATGTAGTGCAGTAAAAAGTAAGACATTATGCTTTGGAATGTAGTGAAGTAAAAGTTTTCCAAAGAAAAACACTCTGATAAACTACAAATAATTTAAAATTTACTTGAGTAAAGTAAAAATACTTCACTACTGTCCGCCTCTGGTGTTATGCCATGCATTGATCTGACAATGACAGTTCAATGCATCAGTTATGGAATTTCACAGTCTATTATATTATGATATGTAATACCCAGTTTTTTTTTTACACTTTCCTTTATTACCTAAAATTCATTTATTGACTTTTTAGTTTTCACCAAATCCCGATTCCACCACTTCTGACACATTTTTGATTTTACTTCATTACATTTGTATGATTTAATAATTGTGTATTGTATCAAAATATTTGAATTGTATGAATTCAAATATTCATGTAATTTAGTAGTTAAATACACTGCACAAAAGTGATTAACTAGTATCCATGTACACTGTTAGCAGCTTAGCAGCAGCTTATTTATTTATTTTTGCTGTGTAGCTACCATATTACATGTTCGCACCCCTAATTTTTAGTGTTCTTACCCAAAGAAACAAAGCTAGGCATTTAGACCGCTGATGTTTTCAAATGTCATAATTTCTCTCAACTTTCCACATCTCTCCATTACTGGACCCAAACACCTGTGCACTCTTAAATTTATAGCGCTCAATGGTGCTAATTCAAATTCAAATAGTCTTCTTAATGTTTTGGTCCTCATGGATTACGATTGTTCTTTTTTCTCGGTTTCACTGATGTAGCGCTCAAATTCTTTCCCGGGGAAAGTAGGTGGACCTCGCAACTTCAATGTGGGGAACTGGGAGTTATGGGGTGGAGACTCATGGGTAATTAACTCCTCAGTGTGCCAAAATGCATGAACTATCCAACAGTTGGGGGTCATAACCCAGAAGTGATGTGCTTTGTGACAAGCCATCAATCTGTGCTTATCTAGCTAACGCTGACACTAATTCAGCATTATACAACATTAACAAAGACGTTAAGACAGTGTTTTGCAAATATCAAGAATGAGTATTGCTTATGGACGTTTTTAACGGTTGGCTTGGAAACCTTTGATTGGCATTGATTTTCTTCTGCCTGCAAATCTTACCCCATTCAAGCAATTTGGCCAGAGCAAATGCAAATTTGAATAAGTTCATGATTCTTAAGAGCTCTATGGTGAAAGGCCAATCAGAGCATACTAGTTCTTGAGCAAACTCTAAACCAGTAAGAATCTTGTGCGCAAAAAATATGCCATGGTCAAATATCTTGATGGTGAGCAGGGCCAGATGTGCAGGCTGGAAGAGAACCAGGACAGTTGACTAAATCTAACAATGATATTACCGTATTCTGGTTTAGAAGGGTTTAGAGACAGCTCAATTGGATGCTGAAATGAACCTTTCCCCTTTTTGTGGAATTTTTGTTCTAACAAACTCTGTTTAACTCTGTTTGTAAATAAATTCTCTCTTTATAACATTAAAAAGGTGATCCCCCTGCTGAGTAGTTCTGTAATGTGGTATCCCTCACACAACCCTCCCCTTTAAAACACAAGATATGACAGAAGAGAAAAAACCAACAGCTCTTTCCTCGTCACCGTGAACATTAGCTGATGTTTCTCGTTTAGTCAGTGTTGAAAATGCTCTCTTGTTTTTAGGCTGTAAATAGTGTATTTTCCTTTTCTATATTAGGCCTATTGCATTTTGCTTTTTTAATGCCATAAATAGTATTGCAAATGTTGAATGTTCAATATTTTTATTTGCTTAAAATTAGTACTGTCTTGATTTGATCAATAAAACTAAAATATATTTTTTAAATGAAAACATTCCATGAATCAGTTGTATGGTTGAGCTGAGATCTATGGACAAGGATAAGAACAAGAAAATAAGTTATCTTAAGTAGCAATAATATTTATTTTTACTACATGGTTATTACATGTTCATTTCATACTTGTTAATCATTTATAAAACGTAATACTTTTAGTGTTTTAAATAATAGTCTGTTAGAAATGTTAGTTAGCCTTAAAACAGTACTGTGTTTACATAGTTCAGAGAATATTTTAAACTTTACAGCAATGGACACTGGAACTACTTTTAGTGGGGTGTTTTTTTTGTAATCATAATATTGCGATTTGATGTACTAAATATGTGCACTGCCATTCAAAAGCTTGGGATCAGTAAGATTTTTAATGTTTTTTAATGGAGGCTCTTATGCTCATCAAGGCTGTATTTATTTGATCAAACATGCAAAAAACAGTAATATTGTGTTGGTTTCCTATTTTGATATACTTTTAAAGTATACTTTATTTCTGTGACGCAGCGCTAAATTTTCAGCATCATTACTCCAGTCTTCAGTGTCACAAGATCCTTCAGAAA